AAAGGCTTTAGTAATAGCCATTAGACTTTTGGCCTGCAACTGTCTGGTCTAATTGCTTGCCTTTCTTGTTGCCATCCAGCTTTAATCCAAAGTGAATGTGAGGAAAATGTGCCCACTACACCCAAAAAATAAAAAGAGGCAAAATTAAAATTTTAAAATGTATATACTGTAATAAACATTCCACCAATTGTGCATAGTAGAATCCACTAACTTATTGGTATATACATACACTTATATTTCGAAAAAAAATCATTGGCCCCAGCAGAGAAAGTGACCAAACCCTAGAATTTTCCCACCACAGCTATTATAATTAGTTTATGACATGATAGTATATCAGTTTTTGGTTTATCTATGTGTATTGATTTTTAAAAGATAATGAATATTTATATGTTTTTAAAATAATGTTAAGAGATACTACATTTAAAAAGTGTGTGTTTTTAGAAAAGACACTGTATTAAAGGAGATTTTATATTTTTAGCTATGGATTATATTTTTCTTCCCTTTAAAATATGGTTTTTGAGCTACATCTCGTAGACTATTTACTTCTATATATATTTGTGAGATAAGCAAGAAAGCTTACATTTTTAGCAGCTGTGCTAAACGCCTCACGGTGGCTGATCTCTGGATTGCAAGCCTTGATTCTTTGAATTTCCTCTCTAATTAATAATAAAGGTTATTAAAATTGTAGTTTTGATAAAATTAAAAGAGAAACCAAAGTGGCAAATTAACACTTACTTGATGAATCTATTGTAGGCCGATGGAACGCGTTGTCTTTTCTCTGGCGCTGCCATAAAAATGAAACTATACTTGTTAGATTAAATTATGGAGTACTTATCACATAGCTAAGGTGATTGCATACAAACTTCAAACTGTTTTGTATTAAACATGAGGAGAGGGAAAAGCTGACTTACGACGAATAGGAGGCATTCTAAGAGCCTCGCGATCGATATTTTCGGATAAATTGTTGGTGTTTCTGGAAGATGATCCACAATCTTTCCTTAATGCCGAAGAGGTTATGTGTTGCTTATGCGGCTTCATGATTACAAAGTCTAGATCAGCCGGAATTTTTACATATATATATAGTGAACAGAGATGTTGAAGGACTAATCAATTATTATGATCTAATTAATACCTGAAGATCTTGATGAATGGGAGGAGGTGAGGATTGATGAAGTGAAACTCCAATGTTGAGGGACAGCAAATTGGTACAATGGCCACATCTCACCGTCACAAGTGTGAACAAACTTGCATATGGTACACTTACCTGATTATATAAATATATTGATTTGTAAAATTTATATATCAATTCCAGACATTTTTTTTGAAAATCATCTATATATACGGACAAATTATTGTCTTGTTTGTCACTATTCTATAATTAGATCCGCTGGTTAGACCAATCTAGCTCTACTGTAGGGTAAAATCTACAATTATATTGTGCATGCAATAACGAGAGCGCTTAATTGAGATAATTAAAAAAAAAAAAAGCGCTTGAGATAGAACAGTGTTTTTTTGGTTAATTATTGAACAGTCTCTTGATTTTGACAAACATATATTCAACTAATATTTTTTTAAGAATAAAACAGATAGTAGGTTTCCATTTGCATGCTAACAAATAGATAAAATAATTGATATCTCCTGGTGAGAAGTTTCATAATAGATAAACTATAAGGATCAATTTATCTCGTTTGTCATAATATATTTGATTAGTAATTTCAATCATTTGTACATAAAAAAATATTTACCTAATAAGATAAAAAAAATACAATTTAGTTACACTTGTGAGGGAAATAATTACTCGAATATATATTTAGAAGGAATCAAATAATAGAATTAAATCAAGAAGTTTAAAGACTCTTTGTCTGATCCAAAACATTCCAAATTGTCATGCATCTACTATAATTATAACGAAAATTAAGTCATAGTAATAATGGGAAAAACATTGCAAAAGAGACATGTAATTCTGTAACTAAAGAATCTATATATCTAAATGTATAAAAGGGGGTGTATTTTTTTGTGTGTGTTTATGGTGGGTTCTGATGACTTGTATGCCTGACACACAAAGCCTCAAGGCAACATGATAAAAGATAGTAAAGAGATGAAGAATGGTTGATGAAGCTTGTAAGGAGAAAGACAGTCATGTTAGAAAACGACGTGACCTTAACCACAACCCATAAAGTCCTTAACATATATATGTGATGGTACCATCTCTATATTATAATCTTCTTTTATTTTTGTGTATGTTTCAA